GGGGGGATTTAGAATAAAATGTTTAGTATGGTTGAAACGAGCAGTTGGGGAGGAGTGAGGTGGGGTGAGGTGGGGGTGAGGTGGGGATGAGGTGGGATTTAGGGAGAGGGTGAAGAGATGGTGGATTGCTAATTGTATCAATGTTGTACCTGCACCATTTCATCAGATGAGGTGTGTGGTCACTGCGACATAATAAACGCTAGGGGTGTAAGAAAAAGGGAGGAAAGGAGGGGGGATGGGAGAGACGATGAACAAGAGATGGGGGTGGGGGGGAGCAAGGGAGAGGGGAGAAGGGGTGACGGAGGAGGGATAGGGAGGATAGAGGGGACAAGAAGGGAAAAGAGGGGGGGGGGGCAGTAGGCGCATGTTAACATCGGCAATCTTCTGCTTTTGATACATTTCAACTGGAGTAGCACGTTTAAGGTCATCAGCTAACAAAGAGACATTTCTTTTACCATTCATGAAATTGGGAACAATGGGTGAAAGGGCATTTGAATATCAAGGCCCCAAGATCTGGAATACTTTGCCAAGTACTTTAAGAGAGATCAAATCCTTTGGTCCATTCAAATGTCAGCTGAAGTCATTTCTGATGTTAAATTTATAAGATGAATATTTGAAGTGATTTTCTTTTGGTCAGAACACAACGTTTTATGTTCTCCCCCCACTCGGGAGTCGAACACGGGTCTCCTGACAACGACAGCCACACAGCAGACACCTTTTTTAAAATCCCTCGAGCATTTATATGAGATTGACGACATCTGATTAGTAGAAAAAATAAATGTGTATGATAGTGTCCAATTGTGTATTACGATTACGTGCATATTTAGCATAACAAGGAACTGTAATAGCAGATAGAGATTTAAGGATTACAGATGTAAGTCATTGATCTGAGAGCGGTGGTGATTTTAGATATAATGGTGGTGATGATTGACGATGTGAAATTGCGTTTAAGTAATGTTAGCGTTAGTCCTATCGTCCTCTGCTCCAATGAGTCACAAGAGACGCCAGTTTGTGTCTGTCTGCTCGGTACGAAACATCTCCAGCGCCATGCGGCTGCGAGCGCGGTAAAACACTCACCAAAAAGTCTATCTATCTATCTATCTATCTATCTATCTATCTATCTATCTATCTATCTATCTATCTATCTATCTATCTATCTATCTATCTATCTGCAGTACTCACAGGCATCAAGTCTTTCCTCATGACCGCCACATGGAAGGTCTGGTCTATGATGAGGAAAACCATCAAGAGACCTAGAGGGAACTCCACCAGCAAGAACAGACCAACTACAGCTACCAGCATCAGCGTTGTGCAGTTAGACTCCTTTAGCTTCCTACTCTCCGTCTTCTTGTTCTGACGTAGCAGCTGCATGCGACGTCGCCTAGCAACGCGCATGGTGTAAATAAGCAACGCGTTCATGACGACAAGAGAGACGCAGGGGACGAGATGGATAAAGATGACGCGGAACCAGTAGTAGATGTTAAAGTAAACGTTCAGATTCCGCATCGCCCAGGGTCGGTACTTCATCACGCACGCTGACACACTCACGTTGGGGTTCAGGATGGACGGCCGTGACGTCTCCACGGGGTACTCCACGAAGAACCGCGTGAAGTGGGTCAAGGTCGCCACCACGTAGATGGCAATCGTTCCCTTGACGACGTTGTCCACCGTGCACCACGTGCGGGCTTTGAAGGAGTGGCAGACGTAGATGTACCGCTGCACCGCCAGCGCCATGGTGAGCCAGATGGAAGCCGTGTGGAAGATGGTGGGGATATACTGGTGCAAAACGCGGAACGGGAAGCACCATTCGTAGGGCATCCACTCGTCAAACCTTTCCGTGGCGAAGAAGTGGATGAACATCGGGGCCGGGAAGATGCCGGTGAACATATCCGAGAGCGCCATGGCAACCAAGATGGCGTTGGTGGGACTGCGCATGTGCGGTTTGAGGAGGACGATGCAGACGAGGAGGTTGTTGATGACAGTGAGGAAGATGAGGACTGGGGAGGCGTAGCCGTTGATGGGGACGGAGTATCTAGGAAGGATAATTTGGGGGTGAAGAGAAGCATAATTGATAATAGCTGAGATGTGCATTGAAGAACGTTTATTGAAGGCATAAAATATGTAATTTTCAGTTTTCAAGGTCTCTCAAGCTACTGGAGTTACCAAAGTTTGGCAGCCATTTTCTAACTGAAACCAGGCTACCCTAAATCCTTCAATCGCAAATATCTCGGCTTCTAATTAAGATAGATGAGTCTTTTTTCATCGAAAGCAAGATAACTGAATAAGCTTTTAGGCGATATTCATAACTCCTTATTCCAAGAATTATCGAGCGCTTGATTCCACTGCGTCGGGACACATATCGTTGATGGAGATTGAGTACTTTGGGAGGGGGAGGGGG